AAAAAAAAAAAAAAAAAAGGATTAATTCTGAGATGACCAGATCAGAATTAAGAGATGAGAATTTCAAAGCAATTATAACATCTCAAAGACTTAAAGAAAAATATTCTCCTAAAGAATAATCAATGTGAAACCAAAGCACACACACAAAAATTACACTGAAGGAAAAAGAACCAAATGGAAATTCTAGAATTAAAAAAATACGACACCTGAAATAAGTTTATTAGATGGGCTTAGCAGATTGGGGATGACGGAATAGAATCAGTGAATTCAGGGAGAGATCAAGGGATAATGACTCCGAAGACACAAAGGAAAAAGATCTAGAAAAGAATATGGTCACAGCACCACTGGCAGAATATCAAGAGGTCTAACATGCTTATGCTTATGCCTGGGATCCTGGGAGGAGTGGAGAAAGAACGAAGGAAACCTATGAAGAAGTAATAACTAAAAACATGCTAAATATGTTAACAGCCCACACAGATTAAAGAAGCCGAGAAAAACCCTACACAGATTTAAAAACAAAACAAAACAAAAAAACAATAACAACAACACTAACAACAACATCAAAAAGCAAAGACACACTGCCAAAAAAACAAAGAAAGGAAAGTCTCACAAATCCGTAGAGAAAAATGACATATTACACACAGGAACAACGATCAAAGTAACGCTGATTTCTCATTAGAAATAATGGAAGCAGGAGACAGTGGAACAAAATGTTTAAAGTGCTACAAGGAAAAACACAGGTCAACCCAGAATTCCACATTCAGCAAAAATACCTTTTACCAAAACAGCTGAAATAAAGAGATTTTCAGATCAATGAAAATGAGACTTCACTATTAGCAGACATACACTACAAGAAATATTAACAGCAGGGAACTGTTTAGGCGGCAGGGAAGTGTTATGCAGTAGAAACTCAGCCTTTTGGAAGGAACGGTGAAGAACAGAAATGATAAACAGCAAAAGGAAAACAAAAATGCTGTTTTTCCACTTATTTCTTTAAAATACAAGTGAAACACTGGAACAGCTTACATGCAGATATAATGCATATAAAAAGCATATGAATGCGTATGAACGTAGATGCGTGCAGAAAAGGCACAATACACTTTCAGAAGAAAGGACAGGGTGAGTTCTCACGCTTTATGTCAGGTGACACAATTTTACCTTTTTACAAGACACTTTTAGTTACGTGTGTATTGCAATCTCCAGCGAATAGGAAAAGAGAAAGAGCTGAATGAAAATCCAATAGATAAAACAACTCTAA